TGTTTGAAGCAGCATCAGCCTATACTTATGAAGTTATTTTCCATGATACCTTGGAATATCATGGGGAAAAAAGTTTTTATTTAATTCAAACATAGAAGAGATAAATAGATACTTACAATCCAATGGAAGCTGAGACTACTAATAATACTACCGGTCTCAGATGGAACATATAATTACGACTTGTTAAATGAAATCAGTATAGTCTATAATTGGTTTGTTTATCAACAACTGTTTGATGATCGTACTAAATTCTGTTATATATGGTTTTATTATAATTATGCATGCCCAATTGTCTTGAAAGCTTGTTATAAAAACACAATCAACATAATTGTTTTATACTGTATAAGCATCCGTATTCATTTAAGGTGATAAATCGATTTGAATTCAAATATTTGATATTAAAATAATATTATATTTCTCAATCCACTTTCATCATGACTTTCTACTTCTGGATGATTACCAAAAGTCATCAACAAATACACTACCTGTTTTATTCTCCACCTGGTCCAGTCAACAATGGTCATAAAAAGCCAGCTAAGTGATTTGGTAATTAAACTAAACCACATCAATATGTTCTCATCCTGATATGCATGTGACATTTGCAACTGGGTGTTAAGCAACAATCCATTATCATACGTGGAAAGCTGGGATTACTCTTAAGAAATCATAGTAATCCTAGCTTTCCTGGCTGCACAGTTTATGTGCATGGGGCCCTTTTTTTTGTTTGGCATTGAACTTCATTCCCCATGTTTTTGTAGACTGTCCAGGTCATCCTAAATTTTAATTGTTTTGTATGGTAGACGACCATCTGCGAAAAGTATGACCTGTGACGTGTCTGATAGGTCATTTGTGTGAGAGAGAACATCAGTGGTCCTAAAACGGTTCCCGAGTCTTCATTTGTGTGGGAGAGAACATCAGTGGTCCTAGAATGGTTCATTGAGTCCTCATTTGTGTGGGAGAGAACATCAGTGGTCCTAAAAGGTTCATTGAGTCCTCATTTGTGTGAGAGAGAACATCAGTGGTCCTAGAACGGTTCATCGAGTCTTCATTTGTGTGGGGGAGAACATCAGTGGTCCTAGAACGGTTCATTGAGTCCTCATTTATGTGGGAGAGAACATCAGTGGTCCTAGAACGGTTCATTGAGTCTTCATTTGTGTTGTTGAGACCATCAGTGGTCCTAGAAGGGTTCATTGAGTCCTCATTTGTGTGGGAGAGAACATCAGTGGTCCTAGAACGGTTCATTGAGTCTTCATTTGTGTGGGGGAGAACATCAGTGGTCCTAGAACAGTTCATTGAGTCCTCATTTGTGTGGGAGAGAACATCAGTGGTCCTAGAACGGTTCATTGAGTCTTCATTTGTGTTGGGGAGAACATCAGTGGTCCTAGAACGGTTCATTGGGTCTTCATTTGTGTGGGGGAGAACATCAGTGGTCCTAGAACGGTTCATTGAGTCCTCATTTGTGTGGGAGAGAACATCAGTGGTCCTAGAACGGTTCATTGAGTCCTCATTTGTGTGGGAGAGAACATCAGTGGTCCTAGAACGGTTCCATGAGTCCTCATTTGTGTGGGAGGGGACATCAGTGGTCCTAGAACGGTTCATTGAGTCTTCATTTATGTGGGGGAGAACATCAGTGGTCCTAGAACGGTTCATTGAGTCCTCATTTGTGTGGGAGAGAACATCAGTGGTCCTAGAACGGTTCATTGGGTCTTCATTTGTGTGGGGGAGAACATCAGTGGTCCTAGAACGGTTCATTGAATCCTCATTTGTGTGGGAGAGAACATCAGTGGTCCTAGAACGGTTTAGTGAGTCCTCATTTGTGTGGGAGAGAACATCAGTGGTCCTAGAACGGTTCCATGAGTCCTCATTTGTGTGGGAGGGGACATCAGTGGTCCTAGAACGGTTCATTGAGTCTTCATTTATGTGGGGGAGAACATCAGTGGTCCTAGAACGGTTCATTGAGTCCTCATTTGTGTGGGAGAGAACATCAGTGGTCCTAGAACGGTTCATTGAGTCCTCATTTGTGTGGGGGAGAACATCAGTGGTCCTAGAACGGTTCATTGAGTCCTTGTTTGTGTGGGAGAGAACATCAGTGGTCCTAGAACGATTCATTGAGTCCTTATTTGTGTGGGAGAGAACATCAGTGGTCCTAGAACGGTTCATTGAGTCCTCGTTTGTGTGAGAGAGAACATCAGTGGTCCTAGAACGGTTCATTGAGTCCACATTTGTGCGAGAGAGAACATCAGTGGTCCTAGAACGGTTCATTGAGTCCTCATTTGTGTGGGAGAGAACATCAGTGTTCCTAGAACGGTTTCCTTAGTCCTCATTTGTGTAGTAGAGAAACATCAGTGGTCCTAGAACGAGTCCCTCATGGTTCAAGTCTCACTAAATCCGATTTTTCACCTTCAGCAACCTTTCATTTTCATGTTTGTCATGAAATATTTAAGCAAGGATTTGTATACTTACTATACAAATCCTTGCTTCAATAGACGATGTCTTTGATCGATGTTGTGAGATCTATATTTAGAAAACTTGTATATTTTACATACGTCTGAAGTTTTGTTTTTTTTTTTTAATACGATTGTCAAAATTTTGACGGGACATATTATGGTATACAAATGTTGTCTGTCCGTCTGTCTGTCCAGCGTGAACATGTCGCACCTTAACTTGAGAACGACTTATCCAAATTTCATGAAACTTAACATAGTTGTTTCTTATGATGGTCAAACGATCTGTATACTTTTTGGTGAAAATAAGATTAAAACTTTTTGAATTACGGGCCTTAGTAACTAAAACGTGTGTGTGCTTTTTTTCACATGTCGCGCAGTATCTCAAAAATAATTTATGATTTTGTTGTTTAAAACTTTACACACTTCTTAGTTATATTAATCTTAAGATCTGTATACTTTTATGTGATGATTCAAAATTTTATTTTTGAGTTATTGAGTATTTTGTATAAAAAAAGGGGGAGGGGTTTTTCACATGTTGCGCCGTATCTCAAAAACGATTTATGATTATTGCTTAAAATTTTACACAATTCTTAGTTATATTAATCTAAAGATCTGTATACTTTTTGGTTTTGATTCAAAATCTTATTTTAGAGATATTGTTTTTTTGTTTTTTTTAAAGGGGGTTTTCACATGTCGCGCCGTATCTCAAAAACGATTTACAATTATTGCTTAGAATTTTACACACTTCTTAGTTATATTAATTTAAAGATCTGTATACTTTTTGTTTTTTATTCAAAATTCTATTTTAGAGATATTGAGTTTTTTTGTAAAAAAAAGGGGGGGGTCGCATGTCACGCCGTATGTCAGTTACTATTTATGATTATTGCATAAAAATTCACACACAAGACGACAGGCGTATCATGCGCTCATGACACAGCTGTTTATTTAATATATTAATACATGTAATTGTATTTTCAACAATGTTATTGTTTTTAACGGTCTTTGAACGCTGATAATTAACTGTAAAGAATTTACAACGCTTTGTTCATCCCAAGCGCAATCAAGTCCTCATACATGCAATACAAAACTTATTTAAACTGTTGAAATCTTGACAAACAGTGTTAGCTTTATTTTTTTCCCGGTTAAATGTCCAGTCTTTATTTATATGTTCATGTTTTCTCAATATTTTTCAATATATAATTATATGTATAATTAAAAACAGTTGTTTACAATTGAATGTCTTTCCACATCTTACGATTCATTTTGATCTGAAAATATTAAAATACGGTTTAAAGTGTCATATACAGTGTCAAATGATAGCTTAATGTACGCTGATTCCAAAAATATATGGTTTCTAAACAATTTTATTGAAATTAGGGAGATGATTTGTTACTTCCGGTCTGAAAAATTGTCACTTCCGGTATTATTTGATAGTTTACTTGACACTGATTCCAAAAATATATGGTTCTTTATACTTTTAACATCAAATAAGTACAAAACAAAGCTACTTCCGGTTTACATAAAGTCATTTCCTGGATTTTCAAGCTCATGTAAATTGCAAACTAATGAAGAGTCCCATGGCTTCATCCACAGGCGCTTGGGTATATGATACAGAAATTTAAAAAAAAAAATTTTTTTTGTTAAAATATTCAATTTTCTATATTTATACTACATATCTATCACTACTGCGCATGTCTCACCTAGTTTCGAGTGATTTTACGAACTTTGAGACAAACCCCCATTTTACTATCCACACAGTAAAATGGGGGTTTGTCTCAAAGTTCGTAAAATCACTCGAAACTAGGTGAGACATGCGCAGTAGTGATAGATATGTAGTATAAATATAGAAAATTGAATATTTTAACCAAAAAAATTTTTTTTTTTAATTTCTGTATCATATACCCAAGCGCCTGTGGCTTCATCGTGTCTAAATATGAAGTTAAAGCAAAGGTCAAAATCTAGAACGTCAATTTCAACTTTGACCTTGAGCGCAATTTCAAGGTCATAAACCAATGTTTTATTTTGTATCAAGGAAAATTGTTAAATAAATCAAACTTCTTTTGTTTTAATTTTCGTTAAGTTAATTTTGAGTTTTAATAAGTAAGGACAGATTTTCTAATTAACGTTGGTTTGCTCGAAAATAAGTAAGCAATTAGTTTAAAATAGTAGCTTTTGAACATCTATCAATAAATAAAACACCACTACAGTTGGTATAGTCAATGTTGCACACGATCCATTGCACCTATAAGTCAACTATTTGACAATTTTGTTAAGTTTATACAATATCACGGACTAAATATCAACATAATACATCTCATTCGATTAAAAATAGAAATAAATTTTCAAATATTTAGATTGAATATGGAAATAATTTAAATGTTATGGGTCATACAGCAATTGACTTCTTATATGGTATGCACCAAGGACGTACGTATAACTAACATACGTCCTTCGCTTCACTCAAACTATGAACAAAGTGTAGTAGTCAGCCGAGAACCAGCTTAAATACTATTCTTTTCGAGTAGACCCACGAACTGATCACGTGACACACTATTTTTTTTCATTTTACGTCCCTGGCAGAGGTTTGTACATGGAAATATTTTATCGTTGCAGTTTACTCTTGCAGTCAGTAACTTCATTGACACATTATTTAATTTCAGCATTTTGGTACATAGTAAGCTTTTTTATAAATATAATTCTTATAAAATTGAGAATGGAAATGGGGAATATGTCAAAGAGACAACAACTCGACCAAAGAGCAGACAACAGCCGAAGGCCACCAATGGGTCTTCAATGCAGCGAGAAAATCACACACCCGGAGCCTCACTGGAGGTGGTCCTCAGCTGGCCCCTAAATAAAATTGTGTGCTAGTTCAGTGAAAATGGACGTCACACTAAACTCCAAAACATATAAATGAACTAAAATTAAAAAAACATACTAGACTAACAAAGGCCAGAGGCTCCTGACTTGGGACAGGCGCAAAAATGCGGTGGGGTTAAACCTTTTCATATAAACAGGTTGGGAACAACCCCACAAATGAGGTGTAACCCCTCAATGTAATGACTATCCCTTTTATGAGGGGTACATTTCAAGTGATAAAAAAATATTTTTTTGTAAAAACTACTTCTTAGTACATAAGGGCACATATTTATATTATTTGAAGAAACTTTTCCCAAAGAACTAATACATCTATCTGGTATTATATTGTCAAAACATGTCCAAGAATTTTGTAATATTCAATCAGGGACATATAATACAAGTATTATATGTCTCTAATTCAATTCAATTCAATTCAACATTTTATTGGAAAGAAAACAATAGAGGCGTGTTCCAAGTATAGACAATAATATATTCAACAACAACATCTACTATAAATGAAATAAAGATCAATGTAACAACAAGTCATAAGTCAATTCTAGATACATGTATTGTCTATGGATACCATAACATTCAGAATTCTTCATGATAGAATAATCATGATACCATACACATATACATCATGATTATTCTAAGTTTTCATAATTTTTTTTAAAAACGCAGTCACATATATATAAGATATATGTGTATATGCACAAGCAGCTATACGATGAAACAGTATGGTGGTCTCTCAAATCAACAGCTTCTTCAATATACATACAAATTGATTTTAGTTCTTTTACAGAAATGGGATTTAAAATTTTGATAAAATTTTCATTCGAATTATTTGAATTTATTTCATTGATTTTATATTTAGATCCAATTTTGTTATATTGAGAACATTCAATCAAGAAATGTATCTCATTTTCAATTTGTCCTGTGGAAAATTTACAAAATCTCTCATTGGAGGGTATTATTGGTCTTGCATACCTACCAGTTTCTATTGCTAATGAGTGTGCACTTATTCTTAATTTGGTGAGTTTTTTTTCTGAGATATTTAGGAACATTAAAGTTTAAATATTCTTGTTGTTTAAATTTAGTATAAATTATACTATAAAATAAAAGTTTTCATCTTTTATTTTAGATAGTTCAAATATAATTTTGTTTTTGTAGAAATCTTCTAGTTTCTGTTTGAAATTAATATTACAATGCTTGTTTAAGGATATTCCAATATATTTTGATAATTTAGATAAATTATTAGACCATGAATTTTCTCTACTTCTTAGAGTTTTGTCCACTTCAAAAGCAGCCTTGAGAATTTCATGTGGACCACCAGACTGTTCACCAATATCACTGAGACGCACATAGTATTTATACATAAGTTGATAACATTTAATGCTAATATGTAATGCACCCAATTTGCACCGCACTGGTAGATCGGAAGACTTTCCATGAACCCCAAGTATATTTTTAAATATGGAGTTTTGTGTTTTTTCAAATTTACTTTTGTCTAAATGCTTCAAAATTTGGTTTGAATTCTGATATCCATACTTCTGATCCATAAGTTAGAATAGGAACTATCATTGAGTTAAAAAGCTGGAGACAAGTTTTCACTGTATGGGAGTTTAGCTAGCTAGACCAACGCAAAATATGCTTTTTTAGCTTTATCTGAGAGGCTTAACACTGCTTGTATAAATTTTCCAGAGCTATGAAAATCAACTGCTAAGTATTTATAATAATCAACGATTTCGATTGCATTTAAGAACTGTAATAAAAGTAGAAATTTTCTGTATTTACTTTTTTTTTTAGAGAAGATTATAATTTTTGTTTTTTTGAAGTTCACATGCAGTTTCTATTCAGCACAATATTTTTGCAAAGAATCAAGACAGTTCTGGAGACCAGTTGTAGATTCAGATATCAATAACAAATCATCAGCATACAATAAATGGTTCAATTTTTGATCATGTAAATTAACTGCACTAGTTGATTTGGTATCAAAGTATTTTCCTATGTCATCGACAAATATATTAAATAAAGTAGGACTTAAACTGTCTCCTTGTTTGACTCCTTGATTAGCAAGAAAAGGCTTAGTAAACATATTCTGATATTTACATGAATATAACATATTAGAGTACATGTCATGCAGTATGTTATAAAATTTGCCTTGGATTCCTTTATCTTGTATTTTAAGAATAGAGCTGATCTCCAGACACTGTCAAAAGCCTTTTTAAAATCTACAAAACACATGTATAGTTTCTTTTTGCATTTAAACAAATATTTATTTATTATTGTTTTTAAAATTAAGACATGATCTACAGTTCCTTAATTTTTTCTAAAACCACCTTGATTTGAACATGATAAATTAATTGTTTCAAAAAAATCACTAAGTCTTTTTTGTAATATGGAGGTAAATACTTTATCAAGACAGCTTGTTATGCCGCCAGCGGGGGACTTAGTTTAACATGGGACCTTATGGGAAATACATACAAATGTCTTCTTTTAGAGAACCACTGAATGGAATGAAACCAAACATGGCATGAATGTTCCTTATGAGGTGCTGACCAAGTTTTGTTACTATGAAGCTGATCCATAATCCAAGATGGCCGCCAGCAGGGAACTTAGTTTAACATTGGACCCTATGGGAAATACATACAAATGTCCTCTTTTAGAGAACCACTGAATGGAATGAAACCAAACATGGCATGAATGTTCCTTATGAGGTGCTGACCGAGTGTTGTTACTTTGAAGCCGATCCATAATCCAAGATGGCCGCCAGCGGGGGACTTAGTTTAACATGGGACCCTATGGGAAATACATACAAACGTCTTCTTTTAGAGAACCACTGAATGGAATGAAACCAAACATGGCAAGAATGTTCCTTATGAGGTGCTGACCAAGTGTTGTTACTTTGAAGCTGATCCATCATCCAAGATGGCAGCCAGCGGGGGACTTAGTTTAACATAGGACCCTATGGGAAATACATACAAATGTCTTCTTTTAGAGAACCACTGAATGCAATGAAACCAAACATGGAATGAATGTTCCTTATGAGGTGCTGACCAAGTGTTGTTACTATGAAGCCGATCCATAATCTAAGATGGCCGCCAGCAGAAGACTTAGTTTAACATAGGACCCTATGAGAAATATGTACAAATGTTTTCTTTTAGAGAACCATTGAATGAAATGAAACCAAACATGGCATGCATGTTCCTTTTGAGGTGCTGACCAAGTGTTGTTACTTTGAAGCTGATCTTTCATCCATGATGGCTGCCAGATGTGGACAATGTTTAACAAAGGACCCTATGGACAATACATACAAATGTCTTCTTTTAGAGAACCACATACTGAATGGATTGAAACCAAACATGGCATGAATGTTCCTTATGAGGTGCTGACTAAGTTTTGTTACTTTGAAGCTGATCCTTCATCCATGATGGCCGCCAATGGGGGGACTTCCTTTAACATAAGACCCTATGGGAAATACAAAGAAATGCTTCTTCTAGAGGTGCACTGAATGGAATGAAACCAAAACATGGCATAAATGTTTCTTATGAGGTGCTGATTAAGTGTTGCTACTTTGTTGCCGATTTACTGTTCAAGATGGCCACCAGGATTTTTTATTAAATTACAGGACCAATATTAAACCAAATTTGGCCTCACTCATTATTAGGGTATCTGTTATGATTTTAATCTATTTTTACATGATTTCCAAAACCAAAGTAGAATCAGGTGAGCGACACAGGCTCTTGAGAGCCTCTAGTTTAACTTCTTAAAATGCAGTCTTTGATTTCTTTACATGTAATAGGGACATTAAGAGATGTATTAGTACAGTTATGGTCTTTGTTCTCTATATTTTGATTAGTATCAGTTTTATCATTTTCACCTGAAGCAAATGAATCTCCCATTCTTTGGAAGAAATAGCAGGCTCACAGTTATTGTTCTTTTTTTGTAATTATTAATGCTACCCCAAAATTCTTTGGTGTTCTTTGGATTTATATCATTTATTTGTTTTATCAAGGATTGAAAAAAAAACCTTTTCTAGTTTGTTTTTAAGTTTATTGTATTCTCTTTTACAGTTGCAATAAGTCAATCTTAATGAATTATTATTGGGTGCTTTAGCTAATCTATTTCCAAGGGAGCAAACTTCTTTTCTAAGGAGCTCGAGTAAGCAATCATTTGACATCCATACTTTTTTAGGTTTTGCTTTTTTTGTTTGTCTTTGCATGATGGATTTTTTTAAATTAAGTGCTTTGAAAGAAACTGATTTTTTTGCAGCTTCTAAATAGATTTCATTAGTTTTGGTAACTAAGAAATCAATATCATTAAAACTATTATCATCAATTAGTTTATTTAAAGATAGAATGTCTTCTACACTGTTTTCATCTAAAAAAGCGTCAATATAAATGTCCTTGCTCTGATCGGTCCATTTTAAAGTACCAGGAAGGGACCATAGTTCTTCCTTCTTTATTTCTTTAGGGTGTTTAAAATTTAAAATATTCAATGCTATTAAACAATGATCTGATAGATCAGTAGGTGGTTTTACCATAAAGTTATTGATGGTATAAAATAAATTCTGTGATGTCAGCATATAATCTACTGTGCTCTTACCATTACTATTACTAAATGTAAAGTAGCTAAGTGAGTCACCAAGAAATCTTCTGTTCACAATTCTCACTTGAGAGGACTTATAGATATCAACTAGTAGATTCCCATGTAAATTGTTTTT